AAAAAACAATTAAATTTATTTATGTATATAAAAATTGTGAATTTTTGAATAATTTTTAGAAATTTATTTACATATGAGCAGACATATCCAGCAGCTAAATTTAATCAAAATAAATGTTTTCAGCTTGATTGATAAGCCTTCATAAGGTTACAGAAAGTTACAGATTCTCTATTAAAAGTCTGTAAGATGTATCTAGTGTCTTATACTGGAGAAGTTCCAGCTTACATTATTATTATATAAGAACAATTAATTATTAAACCTATGATGCAAATAAATTGAAATTTAAGTTTTAATGTTAAGTAAGATAATTGGGATTCTATAGTTTTTAAAACATTGAAAAATCTTACAATAATTTTACATGTAATTCTGATAGAGAAACATTATTCTGAACAGAAAATATTTATTAAATTTAACAATTGCCATTATGGCATACCATTTCATGAGCTCACTTTGAGCATTATTTATGACAAAATTCTAATATACAACAAGTTACTATATAACAATATTTAATATAATGTATTAATACATATATATATATATATATGTTTTTAATGGTGAAAATAATCAAAACAACAATGGTAAATATAGAATAATAATCTTTGAAGAGATATTTTTCCATTTTTTACCCCTTTTTACAAATAACTAAAGTTTCGATTTTGTACATGTATATTACAAAATGTGTTTAATCTACAAATGAAATAAAGTAACCAATACAGTTTGAAAAGTGAATAAGGTTGAAGAAATGATAATTTTTTTGGCCCAGTTAACAGGCCATCTTTAAATATGAAGAGATTTAAGAGAAATCCCCCATTCTTCTATTCCTCTTGTCTCTGTTCATGCATCTATCCAAATAAAAGTGTAAATTCTTGAATTTGAAAAATTTTATCATCATTTTGTTTATTTTTAAAAAATGTCATTTTATATTTTATTTCTAAATTAAAAACAAAATATAAATTATTTACTAAGTAGTGAAATGTTTAAAGAAAAGATTATTGAAATCACAACAAAAAACAAAGTAAACTTTATTAATTTTATTTATAAGATGGAAGAATTATTGAGAAGTATACATCATATTTTTATTTTATAAAGGAGTTAAAATAACAAAAATTTATAATTCTGAATACATATATTTATGCTAAAATCCCAATTATCTACTGCTGAACTGGCTTAATAATTTCCTTATTGTAAATATACTCATTATAAATTGATTATTTCGAACTTTAAAATAACTATATATATATATAAACTTGAAAAAACAATTAAATTTATTTATGTATATAAAAATTGTGAATTTTTGAATAATTTTTAGAAATTTATTTACATATGAGCAGACATATCCAGCAGCTAAATTTAATCAAAATAAATGTTTTCAGCTTGATTGATAAGCCTTCATAAGGTTACAGAAAGTTACAGATTCTCTATTAAAAGTCTGTAAGATGTATCTAGTGTCTTATACTGGAGAAGTTCCAGCTTACATTATTATTATATAAGAACAATTAATTATTAAACCTATGATGCAAATAAATTGAAATTTAAGTTTTAATGTTAAGTAAGATAATTGGGATTCTATAGTTTTTAAAACATTGAAAAATCTTACAATAATTTTACATGTAATTCTGATAGAGAAACATTATTCTGAACAGAAAATATTTATTAAATTTAACAATTGCCATTATGGCATACCATTTCATGAGCTCACTTTGAGCATTATTTATGACAAAATTCTAATATACAACAAGTTACTATATAACAATATTTAATATAATGTATTAATACATATATATATATATATATGTATGGGAAATATATTTATATGATAGAAGAATATATAGTTACAATATTTTTAACTAATTTATAAAAAATAATTTTTGCTGAATTTAAAACTGCAGTATTTGATAAATCATTTTGGGCTTGAGTATTTGATTATCTATTTTGATTTGACTTTTGGAACCAGAGTAATTGTAAGAGAATTCTTATTCAATTGTATTACAGTTTTAAATTCAAGACATTCTTTTCTAATAAAATTTTGACTACTTATATAATAAAATAAACTCTATTGTCTCAGATTAAATTTAATTGAGGCAAATTAATTAATTACAACTTTCTGAAACAATAATAAGATTTAACTGCATATTAAACTTAAATTACTTCAGTTTTGGTTTTAATATATAAGAAATGTGCCTTCTAGCAATAGTAATTTCTTAATGTAATGTTGTTCATCTCTATCATACAACTTTTACTATTGCACAAATGTAAGAAGCTAAAATAGTTGAAATATATTTGGCCAAACATTCATTTTTATACATATCACATACTGCTTTTATATTTCTATTGCATAACCTCTTTTAGTTACATCGTGTTCAATAAATTTCAATAAACATATAACTCAATAAGTAGTTCTCAACCTGAAATACCTTTTACAGGTAACCCCTGTATAACACGGCACTTCTATAGCACGGATTCACTCTAACACGGTTCGAGAATTGAAACCATCCCCATATAACACGGTACTGTTATAGCATGGATTCACTCTGACACGGTTCGAGAATTGGGTAAAACCCTCGTACAACATGAAATGTAATAAATTTTTACATACTTAAGTACTAATAGTTCACAAAAATAATACTTTTCATGAACTATTAGTACTTAAGTATGTAAATTTTCTTTTCTCGCCTTCTGTCGATACACATGGTCCTTCTTGAAACTTGTTTCAATGTTGCAGATCTTGACGCTTCTGATGTTGCCAGATATTTTTCCCTTATGCCATACTTGCTTTATTCTTCATAAGAGCTTAGCACCATATAAGGAAATTTGTAAAGATCTTTTAACTAGAAGCAAGCAATCTCAAATTACATACTTTTTGCAAAAGGTAGAGCATGGATCTGAAGATAATGCAGAAAAATGCTCAGAGGATAAGGATAACTTGCCAAAAAGAAAACGCTCTCGGTTAATAGTGCTTTTAGTGATGATAAAGAAAACATTGTTTAATTTAGCCTATATTAATATGTATCACTTAAGAAAATTTTAATAAAGATATTTATCTTAATTATGAAAATATAATAGCATGTTTTTTAATTTTTGGAACCTAACCCTCCTTTTAGTACTAGTTCTTTGTTTCGTATAACACGGATTCGCATAAAACGGCAATTTTTTGGAATGTAACTCCCGTGTTATACGGAGGTTACCTGTATATACTTTTTACAGTGGAACGGGTGACCTTAATCCGTTCCTGATGTTTGGACTTATACCAAATAGGACGTATACTAAACCAACCTTTACCATAAGAAGTAATGTAAAAATGATTAATCCGTTCTCATGTAAAAAAAAATGGCTGGCTTTAAACACCTCGCTTTCCTGACTAGTTCCTGCTTGATTTTTCATGAGATCAGCATGTATCTTTTTAGCTTTCTCGCAAATAATTGCTTCTGATATGCTGTCGCCAGCACACTGTTTTTCAGTTATATAAAGCAAAAGAAATTTCTCAACATGATCTAATGTCTTTGATCTCTGTTTAGAAATTCATTTAACTCCTTTCACAACATTAGCAGATTTAATAATGTCTTTATTTTTCACGATTGTCAATAAAGTCGTTTTCGGAATATGGTATGCAACAGTTAAATCTCGAACACACATGCCACCTTCATATTTCTCAATAATCTGTTTTTTCAGTTCCATTGTGATTATAGTCATTTTTTTAGTTTTCTGTTGCTTTTCATTTGCCTTTTTGCAATTCATGTTTAATAAAAATAATAAAATTTTACTTACAAATTAAAATCAGAAGAAATTTAACAAAGTTATAAACTGTGGTACCGCGAACATCTAGTCTGGTCTAGTACACCGATAGTGCTACTTGTTCATAGATGATGCATAATTGAATTAAGTCGTATACAGAACAAAAGTTGTATACCGAGCAAAATTTGTTTCGTACAAACAGGACGTATTCTAAAGCAGATGTATACCGAGGTACCACTGTATTATGCAGAGCATTGCCATCAATATATTCAAAATTAATAAGCAATCCCATGTTTACTATTCTCATGAAACAATGAAGCAATAGACTAATAAACTTGTATGGGTATTTTATACAATTCAATAAATTCCATGTTTACTAAAACATGGAAGTGTCTACATGTAATATGCTGTGGTACATTGAAAGAAATTTGCAAAAGCTTAAAAAAATTTTTTTTGTAGAACACTTCAGGTAAGTTTGCAGAACACCTATGTACCAGGGCACAGAGGTTGAGAACCACTTATCTTGATTATATTACTCTTTCATAACATCTAAAGATTATTTCATAAACCTACAGAGAGAATACACCTACAAAACACTGACAAAATATCTAAATAATCGATAAACATGAGTTTATATAAAAATATTGTTAGAAATTTTTAAGTGCTTAATTATTATTTATATTTTTAAAATTAAATTTTAGGATATGAAAAAATTAAATACACTGAAAGGTTAACAATAAAAATTTAGTTATAATATTGAAAATTTTAATTACATACATTAATATTTTATAAACATTTAAAACAAAACAAACAAAAAAATAAATAATTTATGTTGTAGATACTTCAAATCTATTATATTAATATATATACATTTAAGATTTAGTAAAGTTAAATATATGTGAAACAATAAATAAGCTAATAAAATAATTTTATTATAATAAGTTTTAATTAATAATTATAAAAACTTGTATTATTTCAAGTTTAAAATATAAAAAATAAAGCTGTGCTTCTTACAACATTTAGATGTCTGCTGCTCAACATTACATATTTGAAAAATCTAACAGTTTGTAAAATTTTAAGATACAAGCAAAAATAATGTTTCTAATATTTAAAAATATATTTTCATCTGTACTTTAAATGTTTTAAGATAAAATATTTTATGGCATGTTTTTAAAAATATAGATTTTGAAAATTGTGTAAATATATAATTGTAATGACAAGTTTAGTATATTTTATTCATAATTTGTTTATTTGAAATTTAATAATTTTAGTAATGTGGAAAACAGAAAAAGAAGTTTATTATTTGAAATATATTTATATTAAAATAAAATATTTCATAAAATGTATCAATATCAATCAACATGTTTCAGCAGTCTAATTATTCCATTTTAATCTTTGGCACCTTATTTTGCCTTTTGCAAAACTTATGAAAAATAAAGAACAATTTACTAGCTTACAATATTGTTTATACGGTACGAACTATGATTAATGCAGAATCAATTTTTAAATATAAGAATATAGAATATAAATAGAAATTTTGACTTCTAGATTGGCAGGATGTTTATTACATCACAATTATTCAAGAAGCCAGTTTTCATAAATAAGAGATGAATTAATATTTATATATTTTCAAAATGTTTCAAGCACCATGAACAATACACTAAATTCTGTAGATAAAACTCCACATTTTAAACATTAGTACACACATTATATTGAATTTATTTATTCTTATAAAAATAGATGATTAAAGTGTAAATTATAAATATTTTTATTTAATTAACAACATTTATATATAAACAAACTTTATATAATATTAAATATTAATTTGATATATGCTAGAAAATTTTATATGTAGCCTTTCTTGTATTAACAAGCTCTTCTAAATTGAAATTGAAATTTATACAGCAATAACAGAAATAAATTAATAATAATAATAATAAAACTGTTAATTTCAGTAAAAATATTTCTAGAAATGTAACAATTTTAAAAATTAGCATAAATAATATAAGAACTATTTTTGACTAATATATAAATTAACTTTTTATAATCATTCTTATAGAGGCACTTATGTCATATGGACATGAAATTGAAATACTTAAATGTATTTAAATAAACCTTGTAAGATTTTCAACTTCAATCCTAAAAATCATAAAAAATAACAAATGCATCTTTATGATATTTTCAACTAATTTAAAATATATAACATACAAATTAAAAAGATTATTTACATTTCATAACAAAATTTTAAACAATAAAACTATAAATTTTATGTAACATATATTTATAATTAAAAAAAAAATCATCATCCAAATGCCTTATCATTCTTTATCATATTATTAGATTTAATTATCTCACTATATAGCTAATTCTTTCATTCATATCTTTCAAATGCATCTTTTTAATTTTTAAACCCTTCATTTATATTATACTAAATAAGAAAAACTGCTCATTTATAAATTCCAAATTACTACTGATGCATTATATACAAAATTTCAGAAATTTCAATAGGACATTTTAAAAATGTAAATTACTTTGAATAATTGATTATCTTAGTTTCAAATTTTAAAATTTTTTTATTAAAAATAATAGTAAATAATGGAAGTTTCTTTTGTACTGATTAGGATTACTAATTACTACTGTTAGTTATTTCATATTTACATTAATTTTAATTGTCCTTTAAATATCCTTTTTGGAATAAATTCAAAATTGAATTAGCAATGATTCGAGCTGTTACACGCTGATATCCTCCACTAGTTAACATCACTATTGGAATTTTTCTCTCTCTAGCTTTTTGGAAGACAATTTCATCCCTTGCTATGATGCCCTGAAAATAAATTAATGCAATATGATTATGCATGTATAATTTTATTTTTAAATTTTAAATATTTTTTTTATAAATGAATATTGTATCTGAACTCATTACTATTTTATTTTCAAATGCATTTATATTTTATGAAATGCTTTCAAAGAAAAAATATTTAAAAAAGATATAATCTCTTACATACATGAAGTAGGTAAACAGAGAAGCAATAATAAAAAATAAATAAAATTAAGTAGATAAAATAAATTTAATGAAAAATAGTTATAAAATATTTTTAAAATTAATATATAAAAAATATTAGTAATTAAGTTAAATCTGTGCTATTTACAGTTGATTAATAAGATCAATCCATAATTATCCATCCTCTGCTAGGGAAATTATGTCATTATGGGATATATCATTAAATTTTACAATATTTTACATAATAATTTTTTAAAACTTTTTATATATAACATTTATAGTTGTTAATGCAACTGTGAATTGAATTTAAAAAATATTTATGAGCAGATATATTGAATAGTAATGCCACCACAGGGATAACTTCTTTATTACTTCACATACCTACAAAGTTCAGGTGTCAATTGAAAGTTTGAAATGCCTTCTACCAAATGATGTCTTCACTTTTCCACACACACTCCACCTGAACCCTGACACACACCAACATTAGAAAAGTTGTGCAAAACTGTCCATATAAAAGTTTTAAGTCTTCTTGCAGCACGAGTGACACCTCTGCATCTAATGAGAAATGATTGCACTTGAGATGTTCCTTAAGTTGGGGAACAGGAAAAATGTGCACGGTTTGGACTGCAGAGTGGGTGAGGATAAACATATTGAACAGTAACTCTCCAATGTCATGTATGTCCTTGCTTGTGTGTAGAGTAAGCACTGTCTTGGTGGATGGTACATACATAACCATCATTGCAATTTCTTAAGGGTGTCAACATATCATGAGTTGATAGCACTGCCACATTCTAAGCATTCAAGATGAATGACACCATCACAATCCCAAAAGACAGCCATCAAGATTTTTCTTGCTAAGGGCCCAACTTTAAATTTTTTGAGTTGTGTAAAGCCATTACAGTATACTTTTACTCAATGGATTGACATTTCAATTCAGGATCATAATGATGTGCCTACAATTTGTGAAAAAAGACATCATATTCTGCCTTGTCGACAAGGCAGAAGGTGATACATTTTACATTGTCATTGAGATTATGGAGAACCCACCATACACACATTTTCTTGTCTTATTTTTTAGCTTTAATAGAACAGCAGCAGAGATAAATGAAACTACTATTATAATCTAATAGCAGTTATAAAAATGTCAATAATTTTAAATATTTTGCAATATAGCCAAAATATCCTATTTATATATTTCTGTTGTTATTCTTCTGATATTAAAAATATATGGGGTTATTCAAAAAGATGGATCAGAGTTTAGATTTTTATTTTAAACAAGCTGTAAGGAATGGAAACATCCTGCTCATCATTGGATGGAGGAAAGTTCATTGTTGTATGTATTCAACATGAGCACCATGTGTTGTGCAACAAACATCAAAATGGTAGTCCATTTCTTTGCCATAAACAAATCAACTGTTATTGAGTCTAGTTATTGTCTGTTATTGAGTTCACAACTTCAACAATTCAATGTCTCAGATCTTGAAGAGTAGCAGTCTACCTGCTACTCTTCAAGATAGCTACATAAAAGAAAAGGTGTTTGTCCCACCATAGAGGTGGAACAAACACCTTTTCTTTTACGTATCCCTACAGATAAAAATTTCAGGGGGTAAGGTCTGGTGACCTGGGAAGCCATAGACAATGAACAAGATCTTGTTTCCACCTTTCCCAATCCATTGTCCTGGAATGTTGTTGTTCAAATAATGATGGGCTTCCAAATGGAAGTAAGGTAGGGCACCATCTTGCCAGAAAATGAAATCATTTGAATCTTCATAGCAATTAACCTAGCCAGAGAGATGAAACGTTGATTCATCCAAAAAAATTAGTTGTTCGGAAAAATTCTCCTTTTCCATATCCTGCAGAATTGCAATGCAAAATTCTAACCTATTATGCTTGTCAGGATATAATGCCTACAGTAACTGCAACTTGTATGGCTTCATCTGTAGACAGTTTTTAAGAACATGCCATATCATTGAGGAATTCTAAGTTCAATGCTTATCCATGTTAGGGATTTCCTAAGGTTCCATTTAAATGCACCTAGACTCCAACCAAATGCCAAATTCTATTGGGCTAGATATGGCTAAATACTTGTAGACCAACTTGTAGACATAGTAAGCTATCTTCATCTATGTAAAGTTACAATAGTAAAGTTTCTTTTAACTTGATGATTCTTTACTTCATTGCTTCAGTTTTTAAGAAATAATCCAAAATTAAATTGCTTATTAATAAAAAAGTTTTTATTTAAATTACTAGTAACAACAAGAAAATAAAATTTTATCATGTTTTACAGTAAATTACCGAAAAAACAAATATACAATGATACAAAACGCTTAAAAACTTTTAAGTTTTAATATATATCTATACTTAATATCTATATCTATACTAATATTATAAAGAGGTAATGTTTGTATGTAAGTTTGTATGCAGCAGGTAATCTCCGAAACTGCTCATCCGATTTCAAAAATTCTTTCACCAATATTTAGAATGGAACTTCAGGGTGGACATAGGCTGTATATTATTCCATTAAACATAATATGTATATTATTCATATAATTTAAAAGATATAATCTAGGTTAAGGCTTTTATGTCCAACAGATGGCGCTACGAGTATAACGCCCTAAGTTTGCTTTTCTGTGAGGCATTATGCTTTCCAGTGAAATTAACTAAAGCAGATCATCTTCTATCTATTTATATAAATAAAAATGTAATGTTCGTTTGTTCCTACCGATTCCTTTGAAATTTTGACACAACGCTGCATTCGAATACGCACGTGTTTTTATATAATATACGTGTCTAAATTCCCCCCACTGAAGGGAGATGGTTAGGATTAAGGTTTACCATAAAGAACTCTGCTTCTATTTATACTATTTTAGATGCGGATTTTTTTGCGTTTTTGATTGCGTTTTAATAGGGTATGTCAACAGAATGTATACTAAGAAGAAATTTTTCGAAAAATTCCCACCCCCCCACAGGGGAAGTGTTATAAATTTATAATAGATACATTTTGAGCCACAACAACGTGTGGCGGGGTCTGCTAGTACTTAATATTATAAAGAGATAAAGTTTGTAAGTTTGGATGTAGGAGATAATCTCTGAAACTACTCATCCAATTTCAAAAATTCTTTCACCAATATTTAGAATGGAACTTCAGGGTGGACATAGGCTGTATATTATTCCATTAAACATAATATGTATATTATTCATATAATTTAAAAGATATAATCTAGGTTAAGGCTTTTATGTCCAACAGATGGCGCTACGAGTATAACGCCCTAAGTTTGCTTTTCTGTGAGGCATTATGCTTTCCAGTGAAATTAACTAAAGCAGATCATCTTCTATCTATCTATATAAATAAAAATGTAATGTTCGTTTGTTCCTACCGATTCCTTTGAAATTTTGACACAATGTTGCATTCAAATATGCACGTGTTTTTATATAATATACATGTCAAAATTCCCCCACTGGGGGGAAATGGACAGGATTAAGGCTTAGCGTGAAGAACTCTGCTTCTATTTATACTATTTTAGATGCAGTTTTTTGCGTTTTAATAGGGTACATATCAAGAGAATGTACACTAAGAAGGGATTTTTCGAAAAATTTTCCCCCATGGGGAAGTGTTATACATTTATAATAGATACATTTTGAGCTACAACATGTGGTGGGGTCTGCTAGTTTATTTATAAAAATAAAGTATTATACATACCTTAGCTGAAACAGATAATCCACCTAAAGGATCACCTTCTAAAATATCTGTACCAGCATTGTAAATAATAATATCTGGAGTAAATTCATTCAGAGCACCTTCTAAATGTCTATAAAAAAAAATATTAAAAAGTTTTTATTTAAATTTATTTTTCTTCTAAGATAAGAACAAAATTTGTGTATTTCAAATTTATCATAACCATCTATCATCATCATTTTTGTATGATTATGAAATTAACAGAAAGTTTAATACTTGAATGACAAAAGACTAGAAACTAGAAATTTGTGGAACAAGCATTTAAATCCATCTTATAACTTTAATTAATTGCAAGCAAATTAAAATTATAATGCATAATCAAATTTACACAATTAATCTTATATGAATATTTGCAATTTGATTAGTCTTTAATAATTTAGTTTTTTTGCATAAAGTTATCTAACTTAAAATCAAAATTATTTTATATTTAAGAAAATATTAAAAATATAATTAGAAATCTGAACTATTATTAATATCCATTATATAGCTATCTACATTCAGTTTATAGCATCTGATGTTGCCTTCCAATCTCCAGGAACCCTCTTCATCTCTCTCTATCCATACACCATTCCTCTTTAATCCCATTTTCATTACATGCTATCTTCACTCCGTCATACCAAGTTTACCTGGGCCTTCCTCTCTCTCTTTTTCTTTTTTCGTGGAATGTATTCCATTGACATTTTCGGGAGTCTCTCATCACTCATTGTTTTCACATGTCCAAACCAAATAACTTGTTTCCTCTGTATTTCTTCCAAAACCATCTCCTTCAATCCCATTAAGTCTTTGATCCTCTCATTAGTTATTCTTTCTCTTTTTGAGATTCTGCACAATCTGCTCAATGCATCCATTTCAACTGTAGTTACTTTTCTCTTCTCTTCCCTAGTCATTCTCTAGCCTCTGCTCCATATAATAGAATGCTTTTATCAATAGCATTATATATTCTTTTTTTTTCTTGGTCTAGTTATTTCTTCACTCCACCATATTCCATTTAATTTTTTAACTGCTCTCTTATCTTGTGCTAATCTTGTATTAATTTCTAATACATCTCTTCCATCTTGAAGAATTTGTATTCCAAGATAATTGTAATGTTCACATCCCTCAATCTTTTCTCCTTCTTCCAGTTCCATGTCTGTTTTAGTCCCTCCTATGCATAAATATTTTGTTTTACTCATGTTTATATATAAACCTCCTTTAAAATATTCCTCTTTTATTTTTCTTGTTATGTATTCCAGATCATCCTTATCTTCTGCCATTACCATCTGATCATCTGCAAATTGCAATGTAAACATTGATTTACCGTCAATATCTATTTCCATATTACAACATTTCTTTTTCCATATTTTCAATACTCCTTCTACATAGATTTTAAATAAAGTTGGTGAGATACAACATCCTTGTCTTAGTCCTTTTGATACCATAAATCCTTGTGATATTTTTTTTCCAATTTTTATTTTTGTTATGGATTCTCTTTATAATTCTTTAACTGCTTTAATAAGTGTTATTAATATTTATCTCTTTTAATGTCTCCCATAATTTTGATGTTGCGACATTATCATATGCCTTCGTTAAGTCTATAAACAATAAATGAGTTTCCTGTCCTGTTGCTAATTTTTTTTCCATAATCTGTTTTATACAGAAAATATTGTCCATACATGATCTTCCTGTTCTGAATCCACTCTACTCTTCTTTTTCTTTTGTTTGATATTCTTTTTCAATTAGATCTCTTATTATTCGTCCATATAATCTATTAAATGTTGCTGTTACTGTAATTCCTTGATAGTTTTCATTTTTGTTTGTCTCCTTTTTTATAGATAGATGTCAAAAAGCCAATTTTCCATTCTTTTGGAATGTCTTCTCCATTAAGACACCTTTCAAATAATTTTGTTGTCATTCCAAATAATTTTTCTGTTCCATTTTTTTTATCAATTCTGCTGGTATTCCTCCAGGACCACTTGCTCTATTATTTTTTAGTTTTTTACATACTCGTTTAATCTGTTTTGTCTCTAAATGAATTGGTACATCCTTTTCTATGTTTATATCTTCTGTTAATCAATTTTTTATAATATTCTTCCCATTGTTTAACTGAGATAAACTGTCCTTTATTACTATTACTTTCATTTCTAACATTTTTTAGGAATTTCCATGCTTCAGTGCATTTTCTTCCTCCTATATATGTTTCTATTTCTCTACAATTTCTATCCCAACCCAATCTTTTCTTTTCCAGAATTAATTTTTTTGTTGATTTTCTAAGTTCTTTATATCTTATTCTATCCTCTTCTCTTTTAGTGTTCATCCATTTTAAGTAAGTTACTTTTTTGTTGTTTCATGTTTTCTACCTCTTTGTCCCACTAGAATTTTTAAAAAGTTTTCCATGTTCTTTGATTTGTTCTAGAGCTTAATTTGCTGTTTCATGTAGTGCTGTTTTTATATTTTTATATAATTCTATAGTGTTATCATATTCTTTTTCTTTCAATTTTTGATCTAATCTTGTCTGAAACAATCTTCTCGTACTTTTTATGCTAAGCTTTCAAGATTAAATTTAAGATCTTTGATTACTTCCATTTCCATTTTTTATTCCTTCTGTGTCCGTATTACTCTTTTGTAAGGAGTAATGATTTTTTGCTCTTACTATATAGTGGTCTGAGACACAAGTAACAGCTTTCTGTGCTCTTACATCTAAAATTTTAATTTGGGTTCTTTGCTTTGTAATAATATAGTCAATAATTGATTTCCACTGCCTAGTATGTTGAGTCCAAGTATATTTATGAATATCTTTATGTTTAAAAAACCCATTATTTACTTCAAAGTGGTTTGTATTACAAAAGTCTATTAGTCTTCTTCCGTTGTCATTTGTTATGTTTTCTCTGAATTGTCCAATAATTTTGTTATTTCTCAATGATCCTGTTCTTGCATTGAAATCACTCAATAACATTATTTCTCTTGTCTCTCCAGTTTCATCTATCACCTCTTGCATCTTGTTGTAGAACAAATCCTTACCTTCATGGCTTTCACCCTCATTTGGTGCATAAATTCCAATGATAGTAATTTGTCTCCCAAAAATATTTAGGTTAACTTTCCTCATTCTTTCATCTATTGTTTCAAAGGTGGTAATATTTCTCTTAAATTTCTTTTTTATCATAATGGATACACCACATTTTGCTCTTTCTTCTTTTGGCATGCCAAAGTAAATATGCACATAGTCTTCCAGTTCTTACATTCCTGATCCTTTCTTTTTTTGTTTCTGTTAGGATCACAAAGTCAATTTTCATTCTTTTTATTTCTTTAACTATCTGATCCCTTGTACATTCCATGTAGCAAAATTCATTGTCCGTTTACCTTGCCTTAGTTGTTTACCATATAATTCATCCAGTTTCATTTTCCTGGAGTTTTCTGTTGCGGTGTGATTTTTTTTTATAGGAGATAATATGGATGATAGGCCTGCACCCTATCAAAAAAGAAACAGTTTCATATTTGAACCTTTAGTATTTGAATTTGATAACTTACTTCTCTTGCTATATGAAATTAATATCCATTATATAAAATTCCAAATAACTGAAATTCAATTTATTCGTTAAAAAAAAAATCATATTTCAGATGAATAAGTAATAAAAGTATTATTAATGAGAATGTAGAAGCTTTATATAGATAGTAAATTACATTACAAGTTAGATTTAAAAATAATATAAATTATATTTACATTGAAATTTTTTCCAAATATTCTGTATCTTCTGTCATTGGTCTTAGTTCTACTTTTCTTGTAATTGCTTCTGAAAGTTTATATATATTATTGATTTTTAAAAATAATGACTCTAATAATTTAATAATACATTTTAAAAAACATCTTTGTGAAAATGTTTCTTTATTTAAATTGTTATGGGTTTTTTAAACTTTGTATAAATAACAAATTCTTTTCAAAAGTTACACCCAGGACAGAAATAGATAAATAAATAAAACTCACGCCAAAATTGTATAGCTTCTTGATAACAAGCACTGAGTTCAGCGTTAATACGATTTTTCTTATATCGCAAGTTATACTTCTTATACTTCCCTCATCGCAAGCTCTAATAAAAGTCGAATTGGAAATCATAAGAATGGCAGTACATCACGCTGGATTCACAAGTGTCAAATTTATGCATGTACTACGTAGGGTAAAAGATTCCCTTTTCCCGTTTACCACACTACATAGCAAAAAAGAAATGTCTAGAGTACAATCAGTGCTGCCGTACCTAGGAGCACCATCCATACTTATTAGCCGTATTTTCCGGCGATACAGCTTTACTCTTCCTTTAACTCCCCTACCCAGCCTACACAGGAGCATATGCAATGATCGGGATAAAGTCGACGTTTTAGAAAAATCGGGAATATACGCAGTGCAACTGGAAAATCCAGTAACGGGGACAATTGAGAAGTATATAGGGGCAACGACAAGAATGCTCGCTTGCCGTATCGCAGAACATCAGGAGGATATAAACAAAGGAAGATAGACCACAGAGCTTGCCAGAAAAGTTCTACAGCAGGGCTATAACCCGTTATGGTCAAAAACAGCGTTGCTCAGGAGCTGTAACAACAGAAGAATTACATTTATTTGGGAAGCGCTCCTTACAATGACCACAGACGGACGCAACGTCACCACACTCAACTTGCCCGAAATATGGGTTACTTTATACCAGCGTTTAAACAGCAAAAAGCGCCAAGAGTCGCACAATTAGTACGATCGCTCGTCAATGCATGCGCTGCTAGTCGTGTGGATTTAAGATATTTCGAACACCCGCAAAAGCTTATTGCACGTGACCAATGGAATTACCGAACGTTATAATTTAGAAATTGACAAGAAAAATTTTCTGTTTTCTATTACACTCTGCACATTCTAATTTTCAAATTTGTTCTTTTTTGCCTGAGGACGACGATATAATACTCATCAAAAGTACTTGCGATATAAGAAAAATCGTATTAATGCTGAACTCAGTGCTTGTTATCAAGAAGCTACACCCAGGACTTCTATCCCAACAAATACTTCCATTTCCTCACAGTTATCTCCCTTACCCAGGCTTTCTACAGCTCCTGATAACCTTGCTGATAACTCTCATCATGACACTAATGACCTGGAACCATTACCACACTTTGAAGGATTTGATGTCTAGAATATTAACTTAATGACTTTTTTATATGATTGAATTTTAAGTTTTTTAATACATTTTTATAATTCTTACTGAATGGTATTTTTGTTATGTAAGAGATGCAAATTAGAGAAGTTATCAAGTTGAAGTTTTCTTTACACTATTTCTTTCTCAAGAATGAATAAAAGAATTAAGCTCCTCATTTATCAATCAATTGACTTAATGACAGTCATAGGAATGAAACTCGGTCATTAAGTGAGGAGTGCTGTATCTGAAAGTATTCTAACCTGATTATTTCAGATAATTGACACACTACTGTGTATATGTATATATAACCATTAAAAAATAAAATCAATTACATGCAGTAGCTATTATATAATTTCAATAATATCTAAATAGTAACATTAAAATTAAATAAAACAATAATATATATGCAGGGCAGGCCTTTGGAGGTGTGGAGCCCAATTGGGAACAATTTTTGTGGGCTTAAGATATGGAAAGCAATCAAAGTGTGTATTTAAAAAATGCATGTGAGTTAATAGACCAACAGATTTAAGCTTCATTTTAATATAAAATTGCATACATGTAAGCTTATAAGTAACAAACAAAATTTGTATATTAATTCATATGCCTTTGTGTCCTTTTATATACAATTTATTATATAAATGTCTACTAAGACATATTGTATTATTAGGACTTATTGTACTGGTGTTCGGTTTCTGCAAATTGAGGAAAACTTATTCAGAAAAGCAATCTTTATTGTTCACCAGTATTTCACCTGTACACACTATGTGTTTTGGACCTCAAGGTCCCTCCTCAGCAGGTTTACATTAATGAGGTGCAGAAACAAGGTTTATAAAATTACAACAATATTCTAAAAATTTTTTCCAACAATATCTACAATTAAAATGACTTACAGTGTTTTTGTGATTTCAAGATTTATATACATTTTTAGAATATTGTTGTTGTAATTTTATAAATCTTGTTTTAGCACCTAGTTGATGTAAACCTGCTGAGGAGGAACCTTAAGGTATGAAACACAAACATAGTGTGTACAGGTAAAATACTAGGTGAACAATAAAGATTGTTTTTTCTGAAAAAGTTTTTCTCAATTTGCAGAAATCGAACACCAGTACAATAAGTCCTAATAATACAATATGTCCTAGTAACATTTATAATAAATTGAAAATTTGCATATCACCTCTGAAAAGTACAGTACATAATCACAATACTACTTGCTTTTGAGACTGTGAAATGATTTTATTAAAAATATTAATTTTGTACTGCTCTTTACAGTAATCTTTCGAAAATCAGTGATTTTATATTTAAGATAGATGGTCTATATTCTGGTCATGAAACTTATTTCATTTATAGATCCTTGACACAAAATTAATCAGCTTGTAGTAAGATCACCAAGTTCTATAAGATCCAATCAACTGTGTTTACACTCAATAGTAGGAAACTTGGACAATGTGATGGAAACAAATGTATATCTGACAACCTCTATAAAATTTGGTCAGTCACCATGTCAAAGATAATGTTTTTTAACAACGTGGAGTAAGCTTGAGGAAATTGAGGCCCTGTTCCTGACCTCTTTTCTAAAATTTAAATACATGATACTAAATATAGGCCAAATGAGTAGTTGGGGAATGTCACCAAATCTAAGCCATTGCAATGTGTTAGCAAGTTTTCTTTACACCATTGCAGCCTGTGGCCTTTGTGATAGAAGGCCACATGCAGCCAATCTATTAAAGTCAGGCCTAAGTAGGTCTAAAAATCTATAAACAGCCAAGAAAACATGTGATTGGGCAGTTTTATTTTCTTTCACTCGTGTTTTAATCACTGTTTTCCTATAATCTGCCCAATGGGGTACAATCGCCACCCCATTGGGCAACTTCACTACCGCTTTTGAAGATATTTGCCAACATATTATATCCAAAGCCCATTTTTTACTTTGTGCTGTTGTGTGTACTTGAAAAGCTGAGAGTAAATTACACTCTAGTATGGAGCCCAACTGGAAGCAATCAGTCCAATTGGCTTAAGGCCAGCCCTATACATATGGGTATAAAAATTTTCATCATTTTTTAGTAATTCTGTTGTAAATTGATTGCTGAAAGAAATATGAGTAATTGTTGTAAAATGTTCATAAGATTAGTTACTATTAAAAAATATTTTTATTATAATAAGAATATTAATTATTTGAAAATTCAGTTTTTTTAGCATAGAGCAATTTTAATACATGCACACTACTGTTTTTCACTACAGTAGAGCGTCATTTATCTGAAGGTCAGTTATCCGAAATGTCAGCTATCCAAAGGAATTCCAGTTGACAAATTTAAATTTTTGCCAGTGCTGTGGTGCTGTAATCTTTGGCTATGTCTTTGGCTACTCAAATATTTTACATTTTTGATACTAAATTAACTTCTGAAGTATAATTTTTTATTGTTTTTATATTTTTCAATATATTTATTTTGTTTGTACAAAATAAAAAAATAATTTTTAACGATACAATAGTCTTCGTTAGGCTTAACATCGACGAAAATTCAACGCGAAGCGACACGCAACGGAGAAAAGTTTCAACACGGGATAAATTAATATATTTTTTCGTACATAATTGGTTATCCGAAAAATAAGTTATCCGAACAACCCCAGTCCCCAATTGATTCGGATAAACAACGCTCTACTGTATTTAAAATTATTTGAATATCATTACAAGGATTTTTCTTAATATAATGTAATTAACTAACCTTTAGCATATTTGTCACCTGGATATATATTTCTATTATAAACATCCAAAATGTAAACTTGACGGTCATTCATAAAATCTCGTTCATGGCCATTTCCCTATAATTAATGTTATTTTTAGCACATCTTAAAATTCAAATTTTAATTTAATAATATGAAATATCATCTTAATACGGTTACCTGATGAGCATCTAAATCTACAATCATTGCTGATTTAATATTTAAATTATGAAATAAAAATTTAATTGTAAGAGTAATATCAGCATAAGCACAGAATCCACCTCCATTAGTAGCATAGCAATGATGGAATCCTCCTCCAATATTTATTGCCCATCCACGTTCAACAGCTAGTTTTCCAGCCTAGTTAAGGTTTTTAAATTGTGAAAATAATTAAAGAAAATGCTTTAATATATATTAACACTTTCTAGTCTCAATTTAAAAAACTTGTTATAAGATTTATTTAAAAAATGTCCCCATTTCACATATAATATTCAAATATTTAAATAAAATAAATACTAAAATACAAATTTTAAATATTCATTTGTAAATAAAGTAAATTTTCTTAATATCAAAGAAGCTTTATTTACAAATAAAATTATATATGTCAAATGTCAAATTTTAATTAATGTTTCAGAGAAAACTATATATTAATAATTGCTTAGCAATGTAGAATGTCTAAGCAATCTTATCAATTTCCAAAACATATCTATTCTCTTATAAGTAATATGTCATTAATCATCATCATGATGATGTGAATTATTTTTCTTCAACAAAAATCATATAATTTTTCCAAGATGTGTTTTTTTCAACTACAGTGGGTGATCGGTTAACGAACAAATTGGATAACGAACACTTTTGCGAAAGATTTTTATGATTGGACAACGAACACATGATCTGATAACGTACACTTCACTGAACAAACATAAAAACAAACAATGAAAATAGCAAATACCGATTGATTTTCCTTTGTCTTCAGGTAACTTTTTGGAATGTGGGAGACATCAACGTCGATGCTCAACCCGATATATACTGATCAGAAAGTATTCCTCAAACTTTGAAATACTCCCTTGTAATTCCAGCCTTTTATTTTTCTGACAGAAACAATTTTTTATAGTATTCACAAGATTGTTGGGCAGGCACTCATTAAGTTTTGCGTCATTTTTTATTTTCGAAAGGTGAGAGTATAATAGCAAAGGTAGAGTGTGGGCAGAAGATGTAGAAATCGAACACCAGTAAAATAAGTCATAATAATACAATATGTTCTAGTAGATATTTATAATAAATTGAAAATTTGCATATCACCTCTGAAAAGTACATAGTCACAATACTACTTGCTTTAGTGACTGTGAAATGATTTTATTAAAAATATTAATTTTGTACTGTTCTTTACAGTAATCTTTCAAAAATCAGTGACTTTATATTTCAGATATATGGTTTATATCCTTGTCACTGAAACTTACCTCATTTATGGATCCTTGACACAAAATTAATCAGCTTGTAGTAAGATCCAATCAACTGTGTTTACACTCAATGGTAGGAAACTTGGACAATGTGAAATGTAGGAAACTTGGAAACAAATGTATATCTGACCTTTATAAAATTTGCTGGGCAGTATGGCTTGAACAAATCTACAGTAGGGCACAGTTCAATCTTATCTAAGAAAGATACTGTATAATCAAGAAGACTCAAGCAACTAAATGAGTAACAAATATCACATCTGAGAAATTGAAGAGCTCATACTGAAACCTGAAACGAATCTGATGACAGAAGAATGCCAAGAACTCTTGAATGAAGAACACCAAGAAACTCGGCTAGATATGTTTTCTTCTGAAAAAGAAGATTAATGCCGATATCTGCTATTAATTAAAGATCTTTTGAAGAAGTGGGAGGATGTCAGAACAATGGTCTTAGAATGGCATCCAAACCAGGTTGAGGTTAATAGGCTTGGGGATCTCTACAATTACAATGCTATTAATTAATTTTGAAAAATCCTGAAGAAGAAAGAAAAGCAATTGACATTAGACAGATTCTTTAACCCCCACAAACAAAAAAACATGACTAATAAAAATGCAAGTCTGTGTATATATGTATTTTTATTATTACATATAAATAAATGTAGTAAGAAAGTATATATTGGTATAAAAATTTTAACCTTTTTTTACTAATTCTGTTGTAAATTGATTGCTGAAAGAAATATGATTAATTGTTGTAAAATGTTCATAAGATTAGTTACTATTAAAAAATATTTTTATTTTTTAAAAGTAACTAAACTGGAGACAAAATATATATATATATATATTTTTTTGTCTCCAGTTTAGTTACTATTAAAAGTTGTGTTACTACTATTACTGTACTGTTACTACTGTGTACTATTACTGTTGTGTACTACTATTGTTGTGTTATATATATATAACNCTGTGTACATATGTATTTTTATTATTATATATAAATAAACGTAGTAAGAAAGTATATATATATATTTTTTTTTGGGGTCTCCAGAAAGGTTTGTTATTGTTGTGTTATATATATATATATATAACACAACAATAGTAGTACACAACAGTAATAGTACACAGTAGTAACAGTACAGTAATAGTAGTAACACAACTTTTAATAGTAACTAAACTGGAGACAAAAAATATTTTTGTTTTTTATTTTTTGGGGTATCCAGAACGAATTAATCAAATTCCCATAAAAAAAAATATGGTAAATCAGTAATTGGTTAACAAGCAATTAGGATAGCGAACAAAGTCTTGAAACGGATTGTGTTTGTTAATCAATCACCCACTGTACTGTACTTTTGAGCAGATATTATTAATTAGTTTTAACAAGTAAGTAAACAATTACCTTCCTTATCTAATTTTTATTTTAAATTTAGATTGCAGTTATTAATTAGTTTGTAAAATTATTGTATTGTGCACATAAACTGAACAATCACTTCATTTGGAATATTTGCCTAACAATGGTTAGTCCACCTTTCTGGCTTGCAATGCTGAGGCATGGATTCTTCAGATACCAAACATCCTCTATTCTTAATTGGACCCATGCCTGCTCAAGCTTTTGTCAGTTGGTGCACATTCAGAAGGGTGGATGACAACCTTACCATATGTTCCAGTATATCCCAAACATGTTCAATAGGTTGCAGTCTGGTGCTTTTAGGGGTGAAGCAGTGTTTGGAATTTATTATTGTGTTCTTCCAACCATTTGCCAACCAAAGGATTGTAGGATGATGTCCAATACCTTAGGTCATGGTCATCAACCCATAATCCATCATCCCACAATTCCACAGTTGGGAATGCAGCTCATGCTGTTTATGTCAGATCCAAACCTGGCCATCAGCATGGTTCAGCATGAAACAGGACTCGTCACTCCAGATGACCTTCTTCCTCATATCCAAGACCCAATGATACCTTTTACTCACACATTCAAAGTGTTTTTTGCAATGACACATGGTCAACAGAGGCACTCCTGCAGGTCGACAGCTATTGAACACCAGTTGACACAAGAGTCACTGGGTCATTGTCAAAACATGTCTGCCTTGTCCACTGTTGTGTTGGCATGTAGGCTGTTGTGTTCCACTGTGACATGTCTTTGGTCAGATACCCATGATGCTCATCTCTGGGATCAATCACACATGGCTGGCTGCTGTGTGATTCGGTGATACATGACATGGTTTGTACATGATCCATCCAGTCATAGTACACCTTGGACACCATGGTATGAGAACAACCAACAAGTACAGCTGTTTTGGAAATACTGGTTCCCACCCTCCAAGTCCCAATGATGTCTGAATTCAAAGTTGCTCAAGTCACCCTGTTTGCCCATGACTGACAAGTATTGCCTTCTATGCAACTGACAGGTCGATATATTATGATTGCAGAGAATTGTAGTTTAAGAGAAATGAATAACCTAGTCTACTAGTAACCCAATATATTTTTGGTTATTAATACAGAGTATTCCAAAAAGAATGCTAGCATTTTAGATTACTGTAGTTATGTTAATTATTACTTGATACATATGTGACATACACCAATCAATAGAGTCAATCAATATCTGAGTTTCATTTCCAATTTGCATTCAAACATATTGCTGTTTACTGCCTCTAGGAAGTGCCATAAACAAAAATGGTAACTATGATATCAATACAGAGCATAAACCAACACCAGCACTATGAAAAGAAAAAAATTATTAATGTTTTCTTCTATATAAAAATAGACATCATCAGGTAAAAACAATATAGAACAAAATGGCTAAAACAAAAATTGAACGCTTTTTTTACTTGTTCCAACTGATTTGTAGTGCTGCACTACTTTAGTATTGTTGTTTATGTATACTTAGATATTAATATAATTTGTGTACATAAACTATCTTCCATTACCATGTGTTGGGATCTGCTTTTTGTATAATTGTCCACGGAATATTATGTTGTATCACTTTTCTTGCTACACCAACTGGTGTAGACTAATTGGATATTAGATAAGAAATTTTTTAATAAATTTAATCAAGCCAGGAATTTGTGATATTTGGAAACAAATTTGTTTTCAAATAAAGTGCATCCATTTGTAAAATCAGAATTAATTAAATCAAACTCTCCTTCAAAAAGCAAAAAGGATTTTAAAATAATTTAACATTAATTTTTTTCTTCATTTAAGTTAAAAAAATAAATTTGAAAAATGATTTCTAAAATTACTAATATTTTAATAATTAGCAAATTAAATTGCTGTGCCACATAAAAAAAAATTAATGTGTCACAAATACCATACTTCAGCTGCAATACTTGTTTTAGATGCAATAGTAACTGCAGATAAACTACATTAAAACAAAAATTCCAGTAAAAACAAGTTATTAAAATATTAAATACAAAAAATAATAATGATAATTATTTTATAAAAGATAAATAAAAATGAATTGGAATTATTAAAGTGGACAGATACTATAAATTATTTATTTTGATTTGAGAGAAAAGAAAATATGAGTTAGTAAACAGTAAAACATTCATTATCCTTAAATATACATATAATGAATGTCTTACTGTTTTATTTTATTTATGTATATATAAATAGGTCCATTTTATTAATTAATGATGAATTATATCAAGAATAAATTAAAATGCATAGACAAACTTTTTTAAAATTGTAAATAAATAATAACATAATCTCAGAAGTAAATTACAACTAAATATGCTGAAAACTTGAGAAAAGTAAAACCAACTATGTAAAGATAGAGTACTTTAAAAACTCATGCCAAAAGTTGTATAATCTCTTGATTCTCTTGATAATGAGCATTGCATTGTATTAACGCTGAACTCAGTGCTTGTTATCAAGAGATTAACAAACTATTAACCAATATATACAGCCTTGAGATTCATACAGTACATTAATTAAAATTACTCAAGTTATTCTCAGTTTTAATTGAAATATTAGAGTATAGAAATAAAAATCATTTCAGTTTGCTTAGTTTTAATGTATCAAATATGTATCTTTCATATTATAGAAAATGATAGAAAGTAAGATAAGATAATTAAAACAGAAAATTTAGCTGATTAATTGAAGTGGTTTCATAAGAAAACTATTTTAATATTATTCATTTATTAATGTAAAATAATAGCAATAATAAGCAAACAATTATTGATTCTAAGTAATTGATATTAGATATACATGAAAGAATAAGTATTGATAAAGGATTCATATGTTTTTTACTTGAAATATAAATTAACCAAATATCATCTACATATTTATTAATAATACTTATATTTATATATTTCTCTTAATGTATATTTGTTTTATCATATATAAGAATATAAGAGAGTGAACCAAAAATTAAATTCCATAGGTTTAATCACGAATTGTAATAAGTTAAGGTTAAAATTTTTAAAATAAGAAATAAGATTAGGATATATATGTTAGTGTCAAAGACTGAAAATGCTCATTGAGCAAAAATACCAACCACAATGCAAAATTCACATCATGGCTTTCATGATATTTGACCACTATGCATTGCAGTGATTAAGAAAAGCTATAATGAGTTCTGAACTTTAGTTGATGCAACCACAATAGAGGAAGATATGATGCAGTGGTTTGAAACTTTAAAATATGAGTTCTAGCCTTAAAACATTTTTGTTTACAATTTTTAATGCTGAACAACATTAGTTCTACAAGTTTTCCTAAAAATTTAATTTTCATACTTAAAAAAATTGGGGATTATATAGATTACCACCTATGGAATCTCGGGTCTTTGAATACATATCTGAACTGAGGGGACTGAGACGAGTTCAATGATGCCCTACTTTTGGACCGAAGATGAAAAATAAGAAAGTTATCATACTTTTTTAATGCTATCATACAGACGACACTGTAGTTGCTAGTACTGCCATCTTGCAGTAGTCTGTAAACCATTAAAAAATGCACCGTGAAAGGCAAGAAGTTGCATGAACAGTCAAATGCCACTTCCTTTTGTTCAAGAACTACGATGAATCAATAACTAGTGATGCCTGCCAGCAGACCCTCCGGGAAGTCCGTTGGGAGCATGAACAGTCGAACACTACGTAGTGGAAAAATAAAAAGGCATAGAATGCATTGTGAAAGGCAAGAAATTGTAAATATGATAACTTTCTTATTTTTCATCTCTGGTCCAAAAGTAGGGTACCATTGAACTTGTCTCAGTCCCAAGTTCAAATATATAAGTCCCAAAATTCCCTAGGTGGTAATCTATAGTACAGTCAAAAAATTTCAAAGAAATAAAATGTATGGAGAAAAATATGCATTTTTTTTTTTTGTTTTTGTTTTACTTAAAAGTGCTAAAGGTCAAACTACATGTAATAGTAGGTGCTTGATGTACTCTACACAATGACATAAAAATCAGCTGTTAAAGTTAAAAACCACTGTGCAACGGATTTATTATGGTTAAAAACCACCAGAAGTTCTGGATGTTAATTAATAACGAGGTGATGATAAGAAAATAAAACTTTCTTTTTCATTATTTATGTAGCTTCAATTATCTCATATAAGTAGGTACCAAAATTATTCACCACATACAGAAATGTAATTTGGTTATTTTTCATCAATACAGTATCTTTTACAGTGACACATTATAAACCCTTGCTTACTTCCAGATGTTAAATGGATGCTGAGTGAAGTGTTAATGAAGTTGATGGTATTCCATGAATGTTAATAAAGTAACTGTCAGAAATTGTAAATTCATTATGATCATAAAGTTGATCAAGAAGACCCTTGTTTTCTAACTGATATGAGTATTAATCCATCAGGTGTCTAACAACAGCTAAAACATTTCTGGAAGCTGCACATCCCCGATCAACATTAGGCACCCTAACTAAAACATTTGAACCAATTTCAACCTTCCATCGTATCATGGTTGCATCACCTAATGTTCAGAACACGTTATGGCTTTTCTTAATCATCAATGTGTAGTGGTTAAATATCATGAAAGCCATGATGTGAATTTCACTTTGTGGTCATTTTGAGTTAGCCACAATGTTTTTTTGAATGAGCATTTTTGGTCTTTGAGAGTAACATATATATACAGTGGGTGATCGGTTAACGAACATAATCTGTTCCAAGACTTTGTTCGCTATCCGAATTGTTCGTTAACTGATTATCGATTTACCATAGGTTTTAATGGAAATTTAATTAATTCATTCTGGAGACACCAAAAATAAACAAATATATACTTTCTTACTATGTTTATTTATATGTAATAATAAAAATACATACATACACAGTCTTACATTTTTATTAGTCATGTTTTTTCCGTTTGAAAGTATTAAATAATCTAATGTCGAGTGCTTTTTTCTCTTCAGGATTTTTTGTAAGTAGTTATTAATAGTATTGCAATTGTAGAAATCCCCAAGCCTCAACCTGGTTTGGATGCCATTCTATGATCGTTATTTTGACATCCTCCTACTACTACAAAAGATCTTTAATAACAGATATCGGCATTAATCCTCTTTTTCAGAAGAAAACATATCTTGCCGAGTTTCTTGGTGTTCTTCATTCAAGAGTTCTTGGCGTTCTTCTGTCGTCAGATCCATTTCGGATTCCATTATGAACTCTTTGATGTTCTTTATATCTCAGATGTGATTTTTGTTACTCCTTTAGCTGCTTGAGTCTTCTTGATAATACAGTATCTTTCTTAGATAAGTTTTAACTATGGCCTATTGTAGACCTGTTCAAGCCATACTGCCCAGAAACATTAGGCATTATCTGCCCACTCTCTACCTTTGCTATTATACTCTGACCTTTCGAAAAGAAAAACAGATGCAAAACTTAACGAGTGCCTACCTGACAGTCTCACGAATACATAAAAGAATTGTTTCTGTCAGAAAAATAAAAGGCTGGAATTAAAAGGAAGAGTTTCAAAGTTCGGAGGAATACTATCCGATCGGTATATATCGGCTTGAGCGTTGATGTCGATGTCTCCCACGCTCCGAAAGTTTTCGAATTGTTGCCCTAAGACAAGGGAAGACCAATCGGTATTCATTATTTTACATCGCTTCTTCTTGTGTTTGTTCTATGGGGTGTTCGTTATCCGATCATGTGTTCGTTGTCCGAACATAAAAATCTTTCGCGAAAGTGTTCGTTATCCGATTTGTTCGTTATCCGATCTGTTCGTTAACCGATCACCCACTGTATATATATATAAAGGCATGTGAGAATACAAATTTATAAAGAAAAATATTTTTCATGTTCTAAAAGTTAATTTGTAAATATATAAAGCCAGACATATTAAGATTGAAAGGGCAAGATTAAAATTAGTTAACAATTTAATGAACAATAAAATTTAATACGTTCAAAGTAAATTAAAGATATTTTATCTTTGATTTACTTTGATTGTTCAAAGATGGAAAAATCTCACATAAACAGCATAAACAGATGTCAAAAGAATTTATACTCTTATGAGGATCGATATCAAAATATTTTATCTAATATATAAAATTTAATTCTCTGATAAAATATTGAATTTTGTTATCTGTACAGGATTAAAAATTAATATTATATGTATATAAATTATGTATCTTACCTTTAGATAAAATAGATGATAATGAAATCAAAATCAGTACTTAATATATATTTTTGATTCTGAATCTTCAAGTAAATTTTTTAAACTGTCTTTTATCATTCGTAATCTTCATAAGCAAATGAAATTTGAAGTTTATCTGACTTTACCTTTTCTAAAAACAGAAAATGTTCTATCTGCAAAGTCATGGTTACAATCTAAGAATGGATTCATAAAACTAAAAGTTATGATATAATTTTAATTGGAGACTAACAAAACCATCTTACTTTATAAGCAGTTAAAGTAATTAAAAATTTATTTTGTTCAATATAAAACTTCAACATTCTATAAATAAACCAGACCATGCTGAGTTGCAGACCAGAAAGTGTTAATTAAAAATAATTTTAAAATTATTTTTAAACGTTAATTTTACTTAAACAATAATGACAAAATTATATAATTAAAATTAATTTTATAAAATCTTACCAATATTGACCCACCAGTTTGGGTTCTAAATGGTTTCAGCACGCGTCTTTGGACAATAGAATTAGGAAGAAGGGCTACACATGGTACTTCTGTGATCCTTGCAACGTAAGCACTCCACTATCATAATGAAAATTTCTATCAGATTTTTTTGATTTTTTAAACATAATTTTAATTTCAAAACGTATGATTTAATTCTTACTTTCAATTTATTTAGATAACTTTGTGGATGAACTACCATGAGTTCTTCGTCAGTTGCTTCCTCAGGTTCTACTGTTTGTCCTTCAATAATCATCTTGCCATCTAAATTCAAGAATATATATAAAATTTCATTTGTTTATTTAAAAATTAAATAATTTCTCAAGAAAACCTTAAAACTAACCTTTAAGAAATTGATAGATTCGTCCCCATTTACCGGAATCAAATGGATGAAGCTTTTCTAAGCCAAAAAATCCAATATTATATGTAGGAGAATAGATCACAGGTAATTGTGAAGGTTGAATATCAAAATATACTCCTTTAGACCTGTAAAAAATAAAATATTATTTTTATAAAAATTACTCTTTTTCTGCTATAGAAAAAAGAATCACTCTTAAAAGTTTAAGTGATATATTGTGGTATATTTAAAATAAATTAACTATTTAGANTTTGAACGACCGCGACCGTCATTCTCTTCGCGACAAATTTGTGGCAACAGCTACGCTTTTTAACGAGAAAGTGTAGACGGAGAGATTTCCATTATCGGCAACAACAGATGCGGCGATATCTTTACGTAGATAGTCGATAAGGCAATCTGCAATGCATTAAGGTGATATGCGACACGAGAATCTGTGCGAAGTACCAATGTGTAATGGTTAGCACTCGTGATCCGAGTTCAAATCTCGGTGGGGCCTTTTTTTTTCTTCGCCCCTGTCATCGTTCATTGAAGGCGACAGCGACAGTAGAATTCATTTGCTTTGAATTAAGAACAGAAACTCTGTTTCACACACGTGCGGAAGTTTCTGTTCGACGCTTTGCAACGTTTCGATATGTTTATTCTACTTTAGCGATGCTTTCAAAACGGAATTCAACGTGCTGCAAAGTTCTGATCCAATAGCATTACTGTTTCGAATCAAAAGAATTACAGAATGTCTTCCAGGCGCTTACGTCACACTAAAATAGACATTTTCAATCAGCCGCTCATAAGAAAAGCTCGTGTCAGGAGTGGGTTTCGAACCGATGATTTTGATTCTTTGTCACTCCTCGATTAGAGCAGTCACGTGCTCCGCTAATTGTTTTCATCAGTGCATTATATGTTTCTATTGTATTTTGAATGTATTTGTTAGCGTCGGATTCCAAAACAGGCCCAAAATTTCCATTATCAATTATTTTTTTCTTATCAACTCCAGCAAACTTTGTTTTTATGTTCACAAATAATTTGATTAAAAACTAATTTTAAAAACAAATTATAAAATATTTCATCCATTCTATAAAAAAAATCATTGTATTCTTTGCTATAACAACAAACATAATCTGCTTTATTTGAACTACTTCCTATAACAAAATATCTTGTTATAGGAATTAAATAATAATTAATTATTTGTGAGTATAAATTTACTTGATATTAATATGCAGATTTTTTTAATCCATGATATATTTTTGGTTACTTAAACATTAAATATATTAACGTTAATATATCAGAATGTTAATTAATATCAAAGATTGAGCTTATTTTAATTAAATTCTTCAAAGAGAAATTAAATACATTCACCCAAAACAAGAAATACATAAAATCAATTATGAAACATAATATGCATTACCTGTCTTCGCTATTTTTATATAATTTTATAAATTTCCTACAGATATCTCTTCCCATTTTTAAATTAATATAGAGCAAATAAACAATCGTAATCCTAATTTTGTTCCATTAAATTATGGCATTTCATTACAGAGATTCTAAAATTAAAAGCTCGACTGTTTAAAAGAATCACCTCGACCAACCTGTGTTGAGCAGAACTGCTCATGTCCATTTCAAGATTCTATTATTATATAAACAAAAGAAAAACAATCGAATGAGATCGAACACTTTGTAAAAACCAATGATTTGGTGCGTAACAAATTATATATTTCATTGCATTCGTTTGAATTTTTCCGGTAATTTTAGAAAATGAATGTGACGTAAAATTCTAAAGACAACATCGTATTTTAAATATGGCAACAGCGATGGCAGTGGAGTCGAAAAAGTAATCGAGGCTAAGAGGGGGGGCAAAAAGTGTTAAAGGTTAAACGGCATAGCTTAGATACTTCCATTTACGGAAGAGTTTAAGTTTTTGATATTCTTATTTAAATTTTTAAAGAAAGAAAAAACAATGTAGAGACGATCGATGATCAGGGGCGTATCCAGGGTGGTATTTATGGCATTGCGGCATTCCTTGATTCTAAAGCAATCACTTTTATTACTTTAAAATAAAAATAATAATAATGCTACGTCTTCGATTAGGCAAGATTAAGTAATTCCGCTGTAATTGAGTAACATTCTCCGAAAAACGATACGGGGCACGTATCTTGAACCCCGAAGCACCCATATTTTCAAAATCCTGAATACGTCACACACAGCTGGTTCTGATTGGTGTGCAGTGTGTGTTTGCACTCAGGCGGCCAAAATACTAGGGCGGCCGATAGTGCACTGTAAAAAATTAAATTTAAATATAATTTATTATTATTTTAATATTAGAAATGCCCCACCAAGCATGACGGACTACTTTCTATGAGAGAGTAGAGATTGAAGAATTGAGAACAGTACAGATTTCAAGACGTTCAAGAAGAGTATGTTTCTACATATTAAATATCCCATACTACCCATAGAGGCATAGTTAATAAGCGATAACACTATAAAAAGTTTTTTTTTCTAATTGTTGTAGAAACGACACGATGTGGCTATCTTTGTTTAAAATTTAAATTTAAAGAAGTAAGTTTAAATACGCTATTTGACAAAATATTTTAAAACGCAACTTAAGGAAAATTCCGCCAAGCTGACGTCAGTGCAACGTAAGTGCGATCACAACTTTTAATATCAAAAGGAATCGTAAATGATAATTGATCTGTCCACCTGTTTTGCTTATTTATATCTTGACGAATTCTTTGTGTTACTAGCAGTGGTAGTTTGAAGGCTAATGGCAGGAATAAAATACCGTATTTCGTTGCAAAAATTAATGGCAATTGATATTTTAAAATTTATTGACTTGCTTCTGAATTTATTGACGAATGCTTCTGAAATTTGAGGGAGGAAAAAAACGCGATATAACGAGGGACTACTGAATTCTTATTTAAATTAATTTTTATATACACATATGTATTGACGAATGCTTCTGAAATTTGAGGGAGGAAAAAAACGCGATATAACGAGGGACTACTGAATTCTTATTTAAATTCATTTTTATATACACATATGTATACATTGTATTGTATTTATATACTAAATAAGAAAAGTTTCTTTAAATTAATTTTGTTTAATTTGCAAATTCTATTTTACGGCAGTGTTAAAATACAGGTAGGCCTCCTACAACGCGGTATCTTTACAACACGTTTTCGCTCCAACGCGGTTGGAAAAATGCGGTAATTTTCTTACAACGCGGTTTACGGTATTTAGAAATGAATTATCTTTCACATAACAGAAAAATCGCAACGGATCATGTGATACGAGCCACAGTTCGGTATACAGAGCTAAAAGTCTTTGAAAACAGCTGTTTGTCGACGTTGGCGTGTTATTTATTTCCTTGAAAGTTTCAGGAGAAGACCAGTTTCTAGACAGATGTGCATCATTACCATAAACACTCAAATATATCACTAAATTTTCCATCATTTATACTGTTTCAATAAGTGGGGACAGCAAAAATGGTCCAAAACACAGTATAAACTTCTATTGGGTGTATATTTTTAACAACATAGTGAAGAAAAGTTATTTTTTGCGATTTTTACTGTCCACAAAACTGATTGAAAAAGTTTTAGCCATAACAATGCTGAATGAAAAGAAAGGACCGTCGTT